GATGATGTCACTCCTGCGCATGCACGCAGGAGTCGTGGCCACGGCATGAACCTCTGGAGGAACGACATGGGTATGCTGCAGAGACACTGAATATCTCCTAAATCATGGGTGTCAAACCGGCGGCCCTCCAGCTGTTATTATTATTATTATACAGTATTTATAAAGCGCCAATAGTTCGCTCAGCGCTGTACATTACAAAGGGGGGCAGAACATGTGACAGAACAATACCAATACAATGCAAAACATGAGGGGATCGAGGGCCCTGCTCTTTCGAGCTTACAATCTAGGAAATATAGCTGTTGCCAAACTACAAGTCCCATGAGGCACTGCAAGATTGACAGTTACAAACATGACTGCCAAACGCAAAGGCATGATGGGACTTATAGTTTCGCAACAGCTGGAGGGCTGCCAGTTTGACACCCCTGTCCTAAATGGTGCACATTTAGGAGATATTCCTTGTACCCACATTGTAAGCTTTATTATAAGCTTACCTGTAGGTACAAGCGTCCAATGGGAGTTCACTACCACTTTAAAAATGAATTCCAGGGCTCTGGGCTCTATCTCCTAGATTGTAAGCTCCAAGGACCAGGGCCCTCCTAACCCTCTTGTATTGAACTGTATTGTTGCTGTATTGTCTCCCGTTATATTGTAAAGCGCTGAGCAAACTGTTGGAGATATATAAAACCTGTATAATAATAATAATAACCCTAGGTTTACATCTGTGCGGGTGGTGCCGCTGCGGATCCGAACAAAAATCGGTGCAGCTGCACCACCCGCACAGAGAAATGCGAACCCCCCACCGCGGGTGGGTGCCATTAGTTCTAATGGCACACCACCCGTACTGGAAAACGCAATCGTACTGGGAACTGAAGTTCCCGTGCGGGCTGCGTTTTCCAAAGAAATGCAGGGACTTCTTCCCTGCGTGGCACGGGAGTCCATTCAAATGAATGTGCTCTCGTGCCCGTACAAAACGTGGCCTGCACGGCCGCATATATGTGAATAAGGGCTTAAACTCCCAGGCTGCTTAGGGAGAATGCTCCAACCTGGAACCAGATTTCTGTTGAAGAGAGACTGGGGAGCAACCATGTAATGCTGCGGTGAGGTTAAGTCTGTGTGACTATGGACTTTGCGATGCTCTGTGTGTACACCGGGGGGTTTATTTACTAAAGCTGGAGAGTCCAAAATCAGATTCCCTTCTGCATAGAAACCAATCAGCTTCTAACCTCAGCTTGTTCAATGAAGCTTTGGCAATGAAACCTGGAAGCTGATTGGTTTCTATGCAGAAGGGATCTGATTTTGGACTCTCCAGGTTTAGTAAATAAACCCCCCATGTGTCTGAGCAGCAACAGGCTGTATCCAGATGAGTAGTTAGGATCCTGTGCAGTTAGATGCCCCACATGGCAAGGCTTTCTTTTTTTGTCTTGTTTTATTTTTGCTGTTTTGAATATCAGCACGTTGTGATCACAGACCTTGTAAATAAAGCACCATTTGTTTCATCAAGATCCTGCTGTCGGGCTGTGCCTTTTTCACCATGCTGTAACTCATCCAAGAGGTCAAGCACAACCCGCTACTGAGCTAATTCTTCACAATAGTGGTCCAGCTTAGACTAATATAATTCTGGATATATCATACCTGTGGGATCCCTGTGGAAGCTGGAAATCATTGAAGTAGGCACTACTACTACATTGATCTCTACTAGCTTTTAACTCCTGTGCTGAGTGGCTGCCCTGCTGTTGCCTGCAAACAGGATGTTGCTTTTTCAGTATGGGCACCGTTCCAGGAACACTTTTCATTTTTTCAGCGAATATAAAGCATTTTTTAATTGCACGAGAGGAGGGAAGTGGTGATGTCACGATCCCCACCTCATCAAATCAACAAAATTCAGAAAATGCAAAATGATCTCTGAATGCTGCCCGTGTCAACTGATCGACCTCCTGTGTTCACTAAGCAGTAGGGCAGTCACTTGATATGGAACTTAGAGGCTAATGGTGCCATATCTGGAATTCAGATATGAAGTCTAGATTGTATACTAGAGTGTACCTTTTAAGTAAGTAACTCTGCCTTACTACCAATAATTATACATCATTTTACAGGAAATATTAGTGTTTCATGTTTCCTAAATCAGTTATTGTGTGCATTTCAAATCAGTTGTCATCAAAAGGAATTTTCTATTTATAGATTTATTTCTTATCATTAGCTGTTCAGGAACTGCAAATCTGAGTTGCATTTGCCAGCTCGGAAATACTTCAGATGGTTTTATGGTGTAAATGATTCAGTCTCCCTTTAGAATTGGAATCTAAAAAAAAACATTAAGCATGTTGAAATAAGCTACTGTTTATAGGCATCCACGTTAAGAGTAAGCCAAATATCTCAGCAGTATTCCTGCTTTCATCTTAATTGCTTTCCGTCTATAAGTACAATGAGCAAAATAGGGACGCGCTGCCATGTCTTGTTAGATAATCATAGTCCTGTTTTCAATGAACACAAATCCAAAATATTAAAATGTGATACATTATATATTGCAAAGTGGACTTCTAGCTGCCCCTTGCACAACTCCAACTCCTGCAAAAGGCAGTCAATTGAAATTTCTACCTGACATTAATCTCACACTGAATATTGGTAATATATGTTGTCTACTTAACCTTCAAATCTTGTTCATTCACTGTAGCATCAGAGTACAGAGATAGGACTGGAAGGCTAAATAAAGATGTTACTTTATCTTTATAAATAAATATATATAGTGTGGCGCTCAAAATAAATATATAAATATCAATATGTGATCAATTAATATACAAAAAAAAACATATAATGATTAATAAAATAAACACTCCATAAAAATAATGACAATAATACCTCAAGTGATCACACTCTAAAAAATCGAAGTGTCTCAAATAAATATATAAGTGCATCCATAAATAAGTCAAGTGATCACACTCTAAAATGAATCAAGTGACTTAAATAAATCACATGCTTATAATTACCATATAGGTGATCAAAAAATTAATACCAACTTAATAAAAAGTGTAAAAGTGCCAAAAATTAGTGCAAAAGAATACATAAATGTCCGTTCCTTCAAAAAATCAAATATAATAATGTTCTTCAAGTGATAAATCAATTCATGCAATAAACGGTGATACTCAATGGGTGATTTGTGCCAAAATCTTCTCCAAACAGTGGCTAAAATGCCTCCTCACCTCCTCCCTGCGACCCCTAAGGGCCAACAGGCTTGTAGGATCAACCTGGATCCTAGAATCAAAGAGGGCCAACACCTTTTCCTTCCTTCTTTGTCTTTCCTGGTGGGCCTCCTACTTCCCTTATGCAGCCAAGGTGCCTTAAAGAACAATGGCTCACCAATCCAGTGAGCCAAAGAAGAAAACACCCTCTAAGTGTAGTATTAAAGACTCCTTTATTTCCAAAATGCAAAGTAGCAGAACTCACATATCTCAGCAGTCCTCCCTCCTCACCGATGTGTGGGTACACTGCATGTGAATTGGGACTTCCTGGTGTAGCAAGATGGCGTCGATTTTTTGAAGGAACGGACATTTATGTATTCTTTTGCACTAATTTTTGGCACTTTTTACACTTTTTATTAAGTTGGTATTAATTTTTTGATCACCTATATGGTAATTATAAGCATGTGATTTATTTAAGTCACTTGATTCATTTTAGAGTGTGATCACTTGACTTATTTATGGATGCACTTATATATTTATTTGAGACACTTCGATTTTTTAGAGTGTGATCACTTGAGGTATTATTGTCATTATTTTTATGGAGTATTTATTTTATTAATCATTATATGTTATTTTTGTATATTAATTGATCACATATTGATATTTATATATTTATTTTGAGCGCCACACTATATATATTTATTTATGTTTGTACACTACACTAGGTATTAGTAGGAGAGTGTTGGCAGCTGTACTAGTTGTTCACCATTTTTAGCGCAAGAGGATTTTTTACACTACTTTATCTTTATAGATATTATCTTCATCTATCATCAAGATGACTGCATGTGAGTTCATGATCGGCCCTGCATAAATGATTTTTAAGTTTTATTTAAAACTTTTAGTTGCAGGCATGCTCATCAACATTTCCATATAGGCTCATCTTGAAAGAAAAAAACACAAAAATGCCTTCCATCTTAAATTGGACCTGCACTTAAAAATGGCAGTACGGTTAACCCAGACCAAGAATGCTGTAAGTGATGTCTGATTCAACTTAGCACTGACGTAAGCACTGAAGCCATTGAATCGACATGCCAGCCAGGCAGTGGGAGTCTTCAGAAGGAGCGGTCAGCATTAAAGTCTAACTTTAGCCAACACTTCTTACTATTGAAATTTCACTCCTATACCATGTGGCCAGGTTGTGGGTCTCCATAACACGAGTTCGGTTCCAGTTGCTATGAGAAACTGGGGAGTGAGCCAGACCATCTACCACCTCGCTACTAGAGGACCCCTCACCATGCCAGGTACCACACTTCATGACTGGCTGCAATGTACCTTGCAGTACTTCTTGATTACCCATAGTAACTGCCTTACACTCATTACGTCTTGCCTTGCTGAGTAGAATTTTTGAAGTGGATTTGCTTCATACCCCACATGTGCTTAACTGACCGTTGTTCTTTCATATGCCAGAAACCATCATGCACCCCTTTAGAATTAATTCAGACCAGGCATTAACCCCTTCAATACCGTGCACTTTTAGCCCCTTCCTGCCCAGGCCAATTTTCAGCTTTTAGCACTCTCGCAATTTGAATGACAATTGCACAATTGTCATGCAACGCTGTGCCCAGACTAAATTTTTTATCATTTTGTTTACACAACTAGAGCTTTCTTTTTTGGTGGTATTTAATCACCATTGGGTTTTTTATTTTTTTGCTAAATTAATGAAAAAAGACAGAAATTTTGAAACAAACGCGTTTTTTGTTTCTTCCTGTTTATACAATTTTCCAAATAAAATTTTTTTTTCATAAATTTAGACCAAGAAGTATTCTGCTACATTTCTTTGGTGAAAATACACCAAATCAGTATTTATTATTTAGTCTGTAGGAAAGTTATAGAGTTCACAAACTATGGGATATATCTGAAAATTGATCAGTCCTGAAGTACTGACAGCCAATCTAATGTCAGGAGGCCCAAAAATGTCCGAACAGTACAGCGATCCCCCAAATGACCCCTTTTTGCAAAGTAGACAAAAAATTGCCATGCCTCTTACGTATTTCGTAAGAGGCATGGCAATTCGTTTTTTTAAGTTGTAATTTTTTTAAAATATGAAGAAATTAAAAATAATTTTTTTTCTAATACTGTCACTAGTACAGTACAGCGCAGGGGCGGACTGACCATTTGGAAACTCGGGCACTGCCTGAGGGCCCAGGGACAGTAGGGGGCCCCATGAGATGCCCCTGGTACCTTTTTCATAGGCTTTTTTGAGTTTGGGCAAGGACACAGGGGCCCCATGATCCCCTATTGCCCGGGGGCCCCATGAGTTGTCAGTCCGCCCCTGGTACAGCGTCATCATATAACTGGTGTGGCGGTGATCGGGGACACTAACTTGTGACAATACAAAAATATATATATATTTTTTATTCTTTTATTATTGCAGGTACTTATATAGCGCTGTCAATTTACGCAGCACTTTCATATATATATATATTGTACGTTAACATCAGTCCCTAACCCTCAAGGAGCGTACAATCTAAAGTCCCTAACTCACATTCATACATACACACACTAGGGCCAATTTACACAGGATCCAATTAACCTACCAGCATGTGAGAGGAAACTGGAGTACCCAGAGGAAACCCATGCAGGCACAGGGAGAACATGCAAACTCCAGGCAGGTGGTGCCATAACTGGGATTCAAACCAACGACCCTAGTGCTGTCAGGCGGAAGTGCTAACCATTTAACCACTGTGCTGTTCTTAAATTTTTTATTACTTTTTTTTCAAGATTTTGTTTCATAACACACTGTGACTAGAGTAGTATAATGCTGCCAAAGTGACATTGTACTACTCTGGGGAAGTGATCAGTAAATTTTTTTTTTTACACATTATGATTGCTTATAGCAAAGAACGTATTTGCTATAAGCAAGCATTTAACTGAATGAAATCGATTAATTCAGTTTTTTTTTTTTTGTGATTAGCTGTGATTGGCCCCAGCTAATTACGACACAGATGGGCTGTGATTGACTCATTCTGTACATGTGATCACTTTGACCAATCACAGCTATTGACATAATTGTATACAATGGATGGCATGAAAGAAAGCCATCCATTGTTTACAATTATCATGTGACCTGCTGTGATTGGTTACAGCAGTCACATGGTACTGGCAACAGGTCGGTGCACAGATCTGTCAATCGCTGTGTCTGAGGTACACAGCCAGTGACAGATCTCGCCACAGCGTGGCCCAGAAGGATGTTATAAGACGCTCACCGAGATCGACGAGAGTCCCGCTCAGCCATCATTTTGCTGTTGGCTGAGCAGGAACAAGTTAAACAGTTAATCGTTTTACTGAAGATCCAGTAACACAGTTCAACAGCATAGCACGCATGAAACAGAATCCAGCCCCAGCTAACTAATGCAGGCTGCCCAGGCTCATGCATTTGCAGAGAGCAAAGTCCATTCAGCAAGAGTCGAGGATGGAAAGTTCCTAGTCCAGGGAGAACCCCAACAGAGTGGCCTAGGAGAGAACCACATTCTCTAGTAGGACTACTGGTTGCAGCAGATCTTCCTCTGTAAATCCCATGTGGAAGAGAGCAAGCTTTGAGCCCTCCCATGACATTTACGTGGCTTACAGCAGGTGGCAGGAATCAGAAAGACCAGGAAAAGTGTAGACACAGTTAACTCGTGCCCATTCTGGGCAGCCTGTAACTGTCTGCATAACTATAGAATGCAATGAATACAACAGTATATATAAATTAAATGACACCCACAATCATCTGCTTACGCTGATGTCTGTCATTGGAAAGATTTCTAATAACAGGAGATCAAAGGGACATGAAGTGGTTGGAAAACTCTGAAGTGGGGACAGCAACAAAATACTTTTATTTGTTGGAACAAGGAAAGGTTAAAAGCATGTGAAATTATTATTTTTGTACGTAGCTTCCTGTTTCAATGGTCCTTATTCCTTTACTGGTTTGTCCTGCAGTCACAGAAATAGAAACTTCTGAGATATCTGACATGGGCTTGAATGTCAGATATCTCAGAAGTATCTAGAATATATCTCCACAAAACTGTAAGAAAAATATTATTTTTTTCAATGTGCATTCACCACTTCCCACTGCTTTCCGCTTTCTCCTTCTCTGTGTTAAACTCTCTTGTGTGACCCCCTTCTCTCCTCCTCATTGTGCACTTTGCTCCTCTGAAAGCTTTTCTTCCTAGTTCTCCTATTCTTCTTTTGAGTGTCTCTGCTCATCAACTCCTTAGATCTTTCAGCTATATTCCTATTCTCCAATATGTTACTTTTCTCCACATCTATGTCACTGCTCTCCAGTTCAGTGCCCACTCTGCTCCTGCACTCCAATGTCACTGCCATTTGACTCTGCTGTGCTCAATCTCTTTTGTTTTGTCAAGTGTTTCTTCTCTGTACCCTTTGCTACTTCTGCCTAAAGTTCTCACTAGCTTTACTCCATCATGCATGAAAAAGCTAGATCTTGAAACCCAGATCTTTAGTTTGTAAGCTTGTGGTAGGCACATACACAATAATATTTTATTGCACATAAATGAAGTCTCTTCATTTTTTAGTATAAGAATAAAGTGGGCAGCACAATGTCTAAGTGGTTAGCACATCCACCTGGCAGCACTAGGGTCATGGTTCAAATCCCAACCATGGTGCAACCTGTCTGTTTGCATGTGCCTGCATAGGTTTCCTCCAAGTACTCCGGTTTCCTCACATACTCCAAAGACATGCTGGTAGGTTAATTGGCTCCTGTCTAAATTATCCCTAGTATGTGTATATACAGTATGAATGTGAGTAGGATCCTTAGATTGTAAGCTCTTTGAAGGCAAGAACAGATGTGAATGTACAATATATATGTAAAGTGTTGAGTACATTGACGGTGTTATATAAATTAAGTACCTTTTTAATAAATATCTGTCTTTGTTTTTTCCAAAAGAATGAAGTCTTACTTTCTGACCATAAAAATGTAGTGTCTTAGTTTTAGGCCTTAACTGCTGTTAAGTGACTAGTCGTATCCATGATTAATATCCTCCTCATTAATATAGTTTATCTTTTTTTTTATGCATACAGTATGAATGAAGTATCTTAGTTTTTGACCATAAGACTGAAGTGTCTTAGTATGTTACCATAAGAATGATGGGTCATGGTTAGTGACAATATGAATTAAGTGTCTTAGTTTTTAACCATGAGAATAAAGCATCTTTGTTTTGTAGGCCTTATTTGCTATTTAGTGACTGGCTACATCCACAGCCATTTAATTTCCTCCACATTATGACAATACTTTACCTTGTTTTCATGCACATGAATGTTTTAGTTTTTGACCATAAGAACAGAGTTTCTTAGTTTGTGACCATAAAAATAAAGTGTTTGAGTTTGTAACTAAGGAAAACTGTCCTAGTCTTTGATCATAAAAATGAAATGTCTTAGTTTTTGACCATAAGAATGAAGTGTCTAATTTTTCACTTACTGTAAATGCCATTTAGAGACTAGTTACATCCACAAAAATGTATTTTCCTATTTATGAAGAAAATATTGTATTTATCTGGTTTCTCATTTGAGTACCTTTTTTGCTTATGTGTTTAATAAGGTTGCCTGGTGATCTTGGCCACTTTTAGCTTCTCTCTGTTCATAACTTTCCTGTAACGACTTCTGGTAAAAATGATTCATGAAATCCGTAACACGCTGTTATTATAGGAATAAACTTAATCCAGCAGCATGTTTCCTGGTAGCAAAGTATACACATACATAAACAATACAAAATTATCAAAGTAATTAAAAAAATTATCTAATTAGTATTTATTTAAAAAAAAACAAAAACATTTTATTACTGAAATAAAAATTAAGGTTTGCCAACACACACACACTTCTATATGTTATGATATATAAAAATAGAATTGTGGTCAGGTTATGGACTTGCATATTGCTAACAAATAGTGAATACACATTAAAGTGTTTTCCACTTTTGCAATTAAATTTAAGAAACCTCACTTCCCAAAATATGTTTGTGTGTCCCCATTCACACAGTGTACCTAAAAATGTTTAACCACTTGCCCTCCTAAGGATTTACCCCCCTTCCTGACCAGGCCTCTTTTTGCTACTCGGCGCTGCACTAATTCAACTGATAATTGCGCGGTCATGCAATGCTGTACCCAAACGAAATTTACGTCCTATTTTTCACACAAATAGAGCTTTCTTTCGGTGGTATTTGATCACCTGTGTGCTTTTTATTTTTCACGCTATAAACAAAAAAAGACCAAAAAGTTTGAAGAAAAACATTTATTTTTTACTTTCAGCTATAAAAAATATATAGTAAATTCAAAGTTAGTTATAAATTTAGGCCAAAATGTATTCTGCTACATGTTTTTGGTAAAAAAAAATCCCAATAAGTGTATATTGATTGCTTTGTGTGAAAGTTCTAGTGTCTACAAACTATGGTATAGATACTGCAATTTACGCCATTTTTTTTTGCTATACAGCACTGCGCTAGTTTAACTGACAATTGCACGGTCATGCAATACAGTACATAAATGAAATTTATGTCCTTTTTTTCACACAAATAGAGCTTTCTTTTGGTGGTATTTGATCACCTGTGCACTTTTTATTTTTGGCGCTATAACCAGAAAAGTTTTGAAGAAAAAAAAAAATCTGCAAAATACTTACTGTGCTTTTGATCAAATTCCTTGGGGTGTCTACTTTCCAAAAAAGGGGTCATTCTTCTATTGATTCAACATGCCTCTCAGCAAATAGTTTGGGGTGTCTACTTTCCAAAAAGGGGTGGTTTTGGGGGGTGAGGCATTCTATGCCCAGCATTAGAAGTTTATGCTACACATCACTCACTCTTCTAACCACCTGAAGACCAAGCCTTTTCTGACACTTTTTGTTCACATGAAAAAAATCTGTATTTTTTGCTAGGAAATTAATTTAAACCCCCAAACATTGTATATTTTTTTAAAGCAGATACCCTAGTGAATAAATTGGTGGGTACTACAATTTTTTATGGCACATAGTACTCGCGCAGCGATTTTTTCAAATGCAAATTAAAAACAAAAAATACACTTTTTACTTTTTATGCACAAAAACACAATATATTGGCCAATTATTTGGTAAAATATAAAAGATAATGGTATGTCGAGTAAATAGATACCAAATATGACATGCTTTAAAACTGTGAATGCCCCGTGCAATGGCGACAAACTGCAAACATTTTTAATATCCATAGGCAACAATTTAAAAGCCTTTAAAAGCTACCATTTTAGATTTACAGAGGAGGTCTAGTGTTAGAATTACTGCCCTTGATCTGACGTTCACGGCAATACCTCACATGCATGGTGCAACCGCTGTTTACATACCGACACAGGGTCAAGGCTTGTGCACACAGGTGTGCGTGCATCGGAGGGGCGAGTTTTTTTTTTTTATTATTATTATTTACATTGTACCTTTTCATTTTTTTTTTTATTTTTGATCACCTTTAATGCTATAACAGGGAATGCAAATATCCCCTATAACTTCAATAGGCATTGTTATATATTCTTTTTTGAGAAATATGGGGTCTATCAGACTCTAGATATCTACTCTGCCCTTACATTATCTAATCAAACCAAGATCGGTGTGATCAGATGCTTTCCCAATTTACAAATGGCGCTGTTTATATCCTGCGAAACTGAAGTGATGAAATGCTTGTAGCTTCCGAATTCTTAGACTATAGAGATGATTGGCACCACTCTGGTCTCCAATCAGCTCTATGGTCAGCTGGCAGAAACACTGGCTGCATTCTTAGGTTCCCCTGATGGCGCGGGACTGTCCAAGAAGGCCGTCGAAGGCAGCGGGGGGGAGGGGGGGATTTCATCTCCCGCTGCTTGTAAAAGCAATCCTACAGCTAATTAGCCACTAGTATTGCTTTTACATGAAAGCTGATTGCCGGCTGAAAAAAACACTACCAGGATGATGCCTACAGCTGTAGGCATCATCCTGGTATAACCATTCAAAGTCCAGTGATGTATCAGTACATCGCTGGTCCTTGTTGGGTATATATACTATGTTCTTTTTTTTTTTTGTATGCAGCCTGTGAACTGAATGAAAAAATGAGAAGAAATCTCTACCAGAAAAAGTGTGTGGTATGCCCACCATTAGAATATACCACCCTGCATCCACCCACTTCTAATGGTAGGCACACATTAGGTCACACTTTGCCTCATGCGCCAGTTCCAAGATTGAACAAATGTCTAAATAGTGGCACACTTGAATAAAAATTGTCCACGTATAAGTGGTACCCCATATGGAAAAAGGATGACACCAAGTCCCAAACTATCTTGCCACTGCTCTCCCATGTAGTCTGGGCATCTGGGGGGCTCCACGTGACTATCTATTCCCTCGTAAAACCGAAACTTATAAGTATAGCCTGTTGTCCTCTCACAGGTCTTCTACATCTTGACCCCATATCTAGCATGTTTGCAGGGGAGAAAGTTGTTTGAATGCAAGGTGGCCAGAAAAATTAATGAGGGTCTCGTCAACGCAGATGTTTTGCTGGGGAGTATAGACATCTGCAAATTTTAGGTTAAGGTGATTTGCGAGGGGCTGAGTTTTGTGGAGTCGGTCAAATTCAGGGTCACCCCGAGGATGACAGAGTGTATTGTCGCTGAAATGCATAAAACACATTATACTCTCATATCTATGCCTGGCCATGGCAGCAGAGAACATGGTATATGATGAATCGGGTCTGCGGACCAATACAACCGCAATTCATTTCTTTTAGTAATGGCAATGTTGAGGGTTAGGTCCAAAAAAATGTAAATTCGAAAACCGTAATGAGTTTCCAAGGCAAATGGTCTGGCAAGGCTTGAATTTGGGTTGGCGGCGATAAATTGTTGTGCATATAAATTGCTTTGATCCACAATCAACGCATACAGATATTCCGTGAAAAACAGCTCCAAAAATCAAGGAGGTATGTGAAAGACCAAGATGTACTAGACCACTGGTTCTCGCCAGTTCACCAAAAGGTAGAGCAGCACTAGTACTGGCACTCTGCTGCATGTGAGAGTCATCAAAATTTACCGGCAAGTGCTAACAGAGATCAGGCCTGATTCTGCGAACACTGCGATTTTGTGTGCAATGTATCAAGTGACGGTGACCTACTGACAGTGCACTTGCTGGGGGAGAAGGGGAGGGGGTAAGCGTAGGGGCTAAACGCAGGTGCCGGGGGCTGATCCCGCTAACGCTGCATTTTTGGGGACGCTATACTAATGTGAACGCTGGTATAGTGCTGATCTGATCAAAGATATTGAAACGTTCAGACACTATACTAGCAATAGAGGTTTATTGTGCATGAGCGTGCTCCTGGCAATCAAGGGGTTAAATGTGATGACCGGTGTACTGATGGGCAATCTGATGATATCTGGGAGGGGCGTGAAAACCACGGGAGCGCGAATCATGTATATATATATATATATAATATATATGTGATTTTGCGCACCCATGCTGCCCTGTAGTAGTATTTCTACTATAGGGTGGTCAGGAAGCGGTTTGTGTTATGTCGCTGCGTTACTGTAACTGAAAATTGTCATACAACACTGCACCCAAATTAAAATGGCATTTTTTTCCCACAAATTGAGCTTTCTTTCAGTGGTATTTGATCGCCTCTGCGTTTTTTAATTTTTTGCGCTATAAAAAAAAAAGGCTGACAATTTTGAGGATAAAAACAATATTTTGGACTTTTTGCTATAAAACACGTCCAGTAAAAAAAATCAAATTTAGTCATAAATTTCTGCCAAAATGTATTCTGCGACATGTCTTTGCTAAAAAAAAATCCCAATACGTGTAAATTAATTGGTTTACGTGAAAGTTATAGCGTCTACAAATGGTGGGAAAGATACTGGGATTTTTTTTTTTATTATCTAATAATGGTGGCCATCAGCGACTTATGGCGGTGATCAGTGATTTATGACAGTGATCAGCGACTTATGGCGGGACTGCGGGGGACATTTTGACACTGGGGGGAACTGACCTGGGGTCACTGACATCCCCAGTGACACCAATACAGTGATCAGTGCAAAAAAAAAAAACAGACACTGTACTAATGGCACTGGGAGGAAGGGGTTAACATTTTTTAGGTAATAAAAGGGTTAACTGTGTGAGGGGAGTGTTTTTACTAGGGGGCGGGGGTGTGTACTTCAAGGGAACATGCTGATCCTGAGAGATAAGCTCTTCTCTCAGGTTCAGCGTGTGCTCTGAACTGACAGAGAGCAGACTTGCAGTGTAAACACTCCCTGTCAGTGATTGCTTGTAATCGCCGGGACCCGGCGGGTCCGGTGATGGACACCTGCTGCCGCAATCGGCGGGACGGGTAGGGCGGGCACACGCCTCGCGCTCGCCCCCTACCTGTTTTGCAGAGCGACGTTAAAAGACGGCACTGTGCGCAGAGGTGCCGCCCTGCCGCAGTAAAAACATTGTGGCTGGGCGGCAACCAGTTAAAAAAAAAATGTCATACCTTTTTAGATTGTATTTAGGAGAAAGGGTCATGGCTGACTTCAAGCATTTGTGAACATGTCTGGAGTGAGTCTGTTCCAATAGACATTCCTAAGCAGCCCATACTTAAATCAGTTTTTTTGTTTTTTTTTTTTTTTTTTTACACTCTGACTCGATTCCCACATCCACACATTCAGTATGGATGAAGGAATCTTCCCTGCTGAGCTATTGAATTTTGACAGCAAGGGAACGTCCCTGCGATCAGAATACACTGACCAGCTTTGCCAGCTATAGTCGGTAACGCTGATCGAGCAGGAAAATTCCAACAGGACGGTTCTACAGAAGTTGATCAGTAGATCAACTTCTGTACAACCACCTTGCCCATACATGGATCAAGATTCAGCTGGTTCCTGCTGAACCAACTGAGTTTCAATCCATGTATGGCTGGCTTTAAGGACAGAATGAACTCTCTCTCATTAGCATACAATGCAGAAGCCCAGTTTCTAAATCTTTAACTCTTTGTTAGAACAAACAGTGTTAAAATCTAGCTTATATCTGATAATGGAGATCTGCCAGCACAGTACAGACAAGGTTAATTATGGCAATTGTTAGGCAATTTCCACTAAGGACATAACTGATGTATGCAAAATTTTGATGTGTGTGAAGCTCACTGAAAGTTGTTCAAACTGGTTGAAAATTGCCATCTGTCACCATCACTAGTGTCAGGAACAGGTAGTATTTTTCCAAACTTGGAAAATACATTTTACCTTTTAAAATAGATGTGAGTGAGGCATCACATTCATAACTCATGAGCGTATAAAGCCAGTGTGAAAGGAGCTAAAAGCTCTAATAATAGATTACACCTTTTTAATAGATTTAAAAATAATTTTGTAAATACCTGTGTTTTTTTTTTTTTTTTTTTTGTTGTTTTTTTTTTTTTCGAATTGACCACCACTGAGCTTTATTCACTCTGCAAAACAATGGTAGTTGGTAGTTATTAAGTAGAGGTGACATGCTCAGTCAGAGGCCTCAAGTTCCAGCAACCTTTGACATCTTTTCCACTGAGGTTGGCTCAGTCCACATCTTTCCACTGAGGTAGGCTGAGAGTGCCACTGATTTATAGTATGACACATGCAGACTACTGGGTGCATGCACAACTGCTGCTGGTCCATATCCATGAGTTCCCAGTACAAGGTACCTGTGCTTCATTGCAAGGTAATGGTGAGCATTGTCATTCTTGGAAAAAAGCAGGGTTTTTTTTTTACCTTCATTCCGCACCCTTTTTTATCATCTGCTTAAAAAATCTATATTGTGTGTTAGGTTTATGGAAAAAAATTGCATAAAGTTCAGTTTAAAGTGCATAAAAAAGCTAATTTTATAAGCAAAGTCTTTTTTTTTTTTTTACTTTGATAGAGCAGACCAGCCTTTCTCAACCTTTTTTTTAACAGGAGGAACCTTTGAAATAACTAACTTGTCTCAGGGAAGCTCTACAAATAATTACTATATCTACAGCTCTTAGTATTAGTGTGATGGTAAGTGGGAAGAATGCTCCTCACATTTGTAGTCATTGGAAAGAATCCCCTCCTACAGATAGCTAAAAAGATCATGGTTATTAGTGGTTACATATCTGCAAATCAGAAATTTATCATTGCTGTTTAAACCCCTAGCAGCTTCTGAAGGAACCCGGTTTGAGAACGGCTAGAGTACACAATTATAAAAATCCCTGTTTGGCTGCTGTCTTTGGGGGTTATTTACTAAAACTGGAGAGTGCAAAATTTGGTGCAGCTCTGCAAAGAAACCAATCAGCTTCCAGGTTATATTGGCAAAGCTTAACTGAAAAAGCTGGAGTTTCTGTCGTAGAAACGTTTAAGTCCTGTTGTTCTTAGGGAAAGAAGCCCATAAATGCAATTGCAGAGAAATATTTCACACCAACATCAAACGTCTGTGAATAGAATATTTCTGGTTTTATTACAAGTGAGGCTGGTGTTTTATACATTCTATAGAAATAGATCACCTATTAGTCAATAACAGATAAGGACAGTGAAGGTATCTAGTAGTTGACTGCTAAACAATATTCAGCCTTGATTAGTGTATTTCTTAAACAAATGACTTTTGTTTAATCAAAGTAGTGTTTGATTAAAACTATTTCATAGTATTAGATATGTGTTTATGTACTATAAACTATTGGTAGATATTAGCAATTGTTGCTATTTTATGTTAGAGAAAATATTAGATAAAACATTGCTAGAAGTCCTGTCTTGCTTCCAAGAGTACATATCTTCAATGGTTAGACACTTTTCAGAACAATAGATTGCCCTTGTCCTTTGTCTAAATGTTTATACCAAGGAGCAAGGTGGGTACTTAATTTCAGAAATATTAATTCCTATTAAAATGTCAAAATTATATTTCTATTACATTAGAAGCTCATTGGTTACCATATACATCTGCACCAAATTCTGAGTGCTCCAGTTTTAGTAAATCCCCCAATTGGAAAGAAGTTAATTTGTCTTAGGAAATCAGTTGGCACCAGGAGTCCCAATTGGAAGACACATTTTGGATTTCCCATAATTATCAGCACAAAGGACAAAAGGCGATGGTCAATCTCGACAGAGACATTAACAGCAATAAACCTGACAGTGGTAGCTCGTCCCCCACTCTATTAAAAAGAAAAAAAAAAACAAGAGTTGTCTAGATATGCAATTTAAATGCAGAAGCCTATTGTGACTAGTTCTCAACAGAGCACTGTACACTATAGTTAAATCTTAAGAAATCATCTGTTAATAGTAGAAGAATATTATAGCATGGTGTAGGGAATATGTAGATGCCTCAGTCTGTTTATAACATCTATGAACTTGGCTCTCTGTTTTATACCGTGGGGAAGAAATCTGAAAAAATAGAAACTTTCACATTACCATTCATATCAGAGCTAGCTAGTCGCAGGATGGTGTCCTTAATGCATTAGTTACTAGTTTATGTAAAAAGGGTCTTGGAAGATTTCCCAATGGGAGTGTATACATTGGCACTCTATGGGCTCTCTCCACAGCAAACTGTGTTGAAAGATGTTCGGTGCCAAATATAGTGCGTAACCACGTCTCTATGAATTCAGTGAGACTTGTACCCTTCTGCACGCTCGGGGATGCCAATAACTCTGAGACCGTTAGATCAAAGTCTATTTTCTAAAATCTTCCACTCTGTGATATATTTCTGTCTTAAAATGTACCATGACTACATCGTGTTTCATCGGTATAACATTATCCTCTAAATCTACCACCCTGCCCTCCAGGACAGAAGTTTTGCTGCCACAGCAGCGTGCCTTTTTGTCTTGTACTTTGTATGTTCTTTGTTCCCCCCTCACATTATTGTCTCTGGTTAGACTCTACTGCTTAGTCTATTTTTACTTTCAAAGCAGAGGCAGGGCTCAGGAAAATCATTGGCTTATTACACTTCAAAAGAGTTGAAAAAGTATCCTCTGTATTCCGCTTATCTGAAGTAAAACTACATTGGGTTCAACTTCTGTGTCTTACTTATAAATTAAAGCCGAAGTTTAGTAAAAAAAAAATCAGTACAAAGGACATTACTTATTATTAATGCAATGTGTACTGCTGGATCCTGTTGTGGTTGAAATCTTCCTCCTCCGATCCCCCCCTACCCCAGCCCCTGTAATCTTCCAATGTGGTGCGGTTAATAGAGCTGTGACGACTATGTATGCCCTTTCCAATCCACTTCTCCACTTCTAGAAGCTGCACTATAGCTTCTATGAATGAAAAATGTATCTATGAATGGAGAACTAGTGAAATGAAAGGTCTTCCTCCTCCATTCATAGGAACTATAGTACAGCTTCTATGAATGGAGGAGGTGAGCAGAATGTATGGGCATAGCCTTCACTCTTGATGAGTACATATGACAGGTCCCTTAACTCTATTAATATGAACCCCTGTCGCACCAGAAGATAGTGGGGGGGGGGGGGGAAGGATCGGAGGAGGAAGATTTCAACTAAAGCAGGAGCCAGCAGCATAAGGGACACATCAAATTGATGGTAAGTAATGTCCCTTGTGCTGATTATTTTTTTTCTTGTACTACACTTGGACTTTAAGCTGCTTATAGATGATACCAAGTCAAGTGGCCATAATGTCTGCACAGACTGAATCTAAAGTGGTATGTCATTGTATTTGGTGGCACCAAAGCCACAGTTTAGAAAAGTGTAAAAGTGGTGGCAGGATTTTGTCTAGGGTCAGCAGCAGAGCTCTAGATGGTGTGTCATGTATAGTCAACCATTCCCCCAGCCATGACCCCCTTAAAACACTGTATGCACCTGTACTTAGGAGTCTATTTATAAGGGCACATTTTAGAACTTCTAATGTTCTAGCGTGTTAATGTGTATTCTTTGCACACATTTAATGTGTTGCATTAGGCAGCCCATTTAAACAACACACCAGAATGGATTGAAAATATTTTTTTCCCAAAGCAGCACACCACAACACACAGTAATGCTTTACCATGCACCGTGGTGCGCTGCAATGTGTTTTGTTGGGTTGCCATTCAAAATAATTGGCACTGCAGTGCACTGATCACGGTTGTGTTACCACTATACATCACTAAAGTGTGTTTTTCAGCCCAAAATTTTTTACACAACTTTCATCCAGGATTCATACATTTTCGCAGCTGAATCCAATTAGCAAAATGTATGAATCTTGGGTGTGAACAATTTATAAATAGGCAGTGTTGTGTTTAAATGAGTCTAGTATGTATTTCTTGCATCTCATACATTTATGTAAAAAAAAAAAAAAAAAGCAAAAATATTACATTGTCTGATTTCAGTATATAATGCCGTTCTTTTTTTTTTCCTTTTTAAAAAGTAATTTTGTAGAGAAAATTACGTTGTAGTGTTGAAAGGAGCAGCTGTTATTGCTATGTTTTCCTGAATTTATCCCTACTAGGCCTGATTTAAAACCTATTTCTATAATTTTAATAAAAAACAGAGGCTCCGTGTTCATGTTAATATTTTTATAAGTCACGTATCACTATCAAAAATGCCCTTTGCAATCATTATCCTAATGTATTGTCCGTATGTAAAAGGGAATCAACATTTGGCCAAACATAGAATAAACCAATTGGAAGCTTAGTCATAAAAATGTAATATCATTGATAAATATATGTTTTGGTGAGCCACTTCTAAGCTTCTCGTGAGTTGCAGATGGTAAAAAAGTATGATTGTAGCATCTTTATCCTGCTGTAAAGACCTGTTTGGGCTTCCCTATACCCCTAACACTAATGCTTACACTAACCCTTTCTGTAAAGCCGGCCAACACTGTAAGATTGCTCTCATGCATTCCTGAAGAAGAAAAATCTATTGATGCCCTGATCCACGCTAAACAGTGTATTCCGACTGTATTCCGACAGCCGTGGATCCGCAAGTGGCTGAATATGATTAGTTGCAGTAGTTATTTCTCTGCCTGGCTCCGTTGATTATGATGTATGTGATATTGGATTGGAGGGTGCCGTTGAGGCCTCCCACTGCTCAAATTTCAGGTGATTAATCAGGAACCTTTTCTGCATACTCACCTCTCCTTTGCTTGGATGATCCGTATCAAAAAACAACCCCTCTGCAAAAGACACCAACCCCTCTATGCCAGGTGTATATAGTCGATTTGATTTGTGGCTTATCTTTTATCATAGAACTCAGAACACTTTTTTTCCCAGTAATTCTGAATATGCTGTTTAATATAATAGAAGTAAATAGAAAATAAATATAGAAATCTGTATATGACAAACTGTGAAAATATGTCAAAGAACTTGAAAGAATATGAAAGTTACATCAAAATTTACTATATCAAAATGTGTACTCCCTGAAAATGCTCTATGACCTTCCATCAAGATAAATGAAATATCAATCTAGCTCTGTCTTGACAGATTACAGTGGAGCTATATAGGGTAAAGTGCACCTGTTTAGAATATAAAAATGCAATGTGACTGATTTACTAAA